GAACTACCACCACCTTTAGAAGTGCTTATGCTCTCTATACTTTTATCTTTCGTCAGGGAAGGAAGAGATCTTTCTGAACTAGTAATTCCCGTAGTCTGAAGAGTGCTACTCCTTCTGTTCCCAGAGTCCTCAAATAATTGCTCCACTTTGACCTGACTTCCAGTCAGAGAGTGATCCTTCATCCCAAGTTTGTTGCTAGAAACCTACAGATGAGAGAAAAAATAAAAGCTTTATTTTACCATTTAAAGCACAGACTGAGAATAAAATCAACACCATGTAAAACATCAACAGATTTTGCATTTCCATTAGGAACAAATGTAAAACGCCTGACCTAAACTCACTTGAGTTACAAGCATAGTTATAGAAGGGTACACAAGCAGCTTACTAAAACAAGCACCAACATACTTTTAAGTCCATAAAGGGTAAACCCTGGACAGTCAGACACTCCACAAGGACACAGTACCTATCTCTCCTAGCATGCTCGCAGTCGGCAAACAGCCGGGGAGCAGCTATGTTTAGCTCTAACCGTGGGTGCAGCAAACACAACCAAGGACAGATGCAAGCTGCACCTGTCTGAAACATGCAACGTAACATCAATGCACAGGAATATTGCAGAGACAAGTGTGCCAGAGGAGACAAAGAAATGAGAGAGCAGGTGACATGAGGCTGGTAGAATGGGCTGAGTGAGGAGCAAAAGGGTGACAAGAGCGAGATGAACCATATTTAAAAGTGAATGAGTGGGTTTTCTGTGAAGGGGAAATACCATCATATCCACAACTCCCTTCAAAATCATGAGAACTACACAAGTATCTTAAGACAGACTTTGAACAACTGAGAACTCTCACTCCAACTTGGTTGACAGTAGTCTGTAACCACTGCCTCTTACCACCATATATTAAGCTATTTACATCTGAAATGGACATATAAAAGGCAAGAAAAGCACTGTGAAATGATTCAAAAGTGTTATTTTTACAATCTAGTAAATGCTGAACTCCCTGGTTCAGCTCCTTACTAGAAGAGCAGCTATCCCCCTTTTCTACTCACTGATGCTCCATGCTGATCAGCAGCAGTGAGGTGTTGTCTTAGCCCATGCAACCCTGAAGAAGCCATGACTTAGAGTAGCAACATCTGTTTTCCATTTTGGCCTTTAATCTAAAAATAAAGACTTGAGGCACATGCCAAAGCGAAGCCCTGAAAACCAAAATAACTACAGAGGAATCGAGCAAAAAATATAAATAAACCTGCAGATCCACAGCAATAAAACCAAATTCCTTTTTAGTTACATACAATCCAACATCTCGGCACAGTCAGTAAATCAGGGAAGTGAATGTTCTTGCCAAAAACAACTACACACGTCTCTTAAAGAGTCTGTTTGTTGGTGCTGCCTTGAAATGTTAACTCTTGCTCGCAAGCCTTCAAAAAAAGGCATTTCCTGCAGAAGTCACTCCTTATCAATGGCAAGTAGGGGCTGTCGGATATATCCTACCAATTGCACTGCTCTGGGTCCTATCAACCTCCAAAATACAGTGCACTGGGAGGGACGGACACACCTTTCCACAAAGCCTGAAACACAAAAACAAAGCCCAACCCTGGTAGCTCCGAATAAATGCCTTTTTCTTGGAGCCTGGCTGAACTTGTGAGATAAGAATGACACGTGTAGAACTGCCTAAAAGACTACTTAGTGCAGCAGACTCCAACAGGGACTTCAGAGATAAACATAAGCACAGAATAAGGTTCACACTTGTTTGTTTTCATGGAGGGGACAGGAGAGAAGGGGAAAACCAAACCAAACCAAGCCTGTCCCATAGCAGAAGTCCAAAACACGGTGTTAACTGTCTGAATGTCACTGGTTGTAGCAACATGGAAGTGACCTTGCAATCAGCACTACATTAGCTGTTGCTAATGCTGCTGTTTGTAGCAAACATTTGGTACCTTTGAATCCCTAAATAAGGAAGGGATTCATAATTCCACTTATCCTGCAACTATTTCTTAATGAAGAAACTGCACCTTTGGATCTCAAACCCAACTCAACAGCCATTCAAGCAGCGAAAACTCCAATTTCATCCTCAGAGGACCAAAACCTTTTGCCATGTGACAATGAGACACAAATATAGATCAGTCTTAACTTGAACTCAGAAGAGCTACACTCAAAGTCAGATGACTTCTGGGGAACACGAGCTTTCTTTCAACAGCTTCTTTTTACAAATCACAGGCTGCACAGGTTTTGCTTTATTGATAAACCGCTATTTGCAGCCAAGAAATTCAACTGACAAAGAAGATTTTCACATACTTATAGCAGCATTTTAACTGAGAAAGAAACATTCAACCCAGTTCCCACACAACTGGTTTTGCACAAGTGCATCTGAATTAAACTGAATTAAAGCCGTGTACTCTCAAAGCAGAGATATTTGTGTTCTCTTATAGCTAAGATGAAAAGAATGTACAGCTGCAGACATCAGAACCCTTGAATTGTCATGGAACATTACATTGTAATAACAAAGTCTTGCATGAAGGAAAACAAATATCACTTCTTTCCAGATATTTTCCCATTAAAACTGAGCATCACGATGTTAATTCCTGCACACTTCATCTCAGTTCTTGCTCACAAGATACCACTGCGGTTGTGGTTTTTTGATGTGTCATCATGGCCAAACTAAGCACTGTATAATCCTTAATCTTGCCTTAAGAAGTAAACAGGCTTGATGGACAAAATACAGATGAAGAGTGGGAAACACAATGTTCATAGAGTTATAGCTATATTTGTATTTAACTGGGTAGTTCCATTCCATTTTCTCTTTGGTTATGAACAACTCAAGTTACACTATGACTTAAAGCCTGCAGTTTAAAAGCTTCCATGTCCCCGCAAAAAACCCCCAAACCACCCACTGCTCTTCAAACTCCACTACTCAACAAACCTCTGTTTCCTCTACTCTCTCTCAATATTGCCAAAAAGGGAAAACACAAACCCACGCTACTGAGCTTGCCCAGTGAATGGCATGGACCAAGCTAATTAATATCTGCTACAGTAAATTCCCACAAGGTGATGATCTTCAAATGCATCTTACTCCGTGAAGTGCCTATTTTCACTTCTTAGAAAGTGGGGTTTTTTTAAGCTCAAGCTCCTTCACTTCTTCCAGAATTCAACAAGAGCCAGATCACGTTTAGAAAGCATACAAAGGTCAGATCACTGTACAGCTAAACACGAGCATGACTGCTCAGCTGAAAGGGAAGATCTCGTAACTCCACATCTGCTGAGGAAACAGTATGCTCATGAAGTAGCATGTTAACACCTTCACTCCATAAAGAGCTATTTTGCTAGCAAGCAAAGCAGCAGATAAGGGAAAAGTTTTCAGAGAGGAAAGATACTTTTGTAAGACGTTTTGGCAGCCATGCAAACCCACGCTGCTCCTCCTGCTGTTCCCAAGTACTTACCTCCCTGCATTTTCATGAGGGAAGCTAAAATGGAACCGTGTTAAGAGGTAAAACAAAGCATCTGTGGATTTACATACTTACCAACATACAAGGTGACATGGCACAATGCTCCAACCTTCTGGAAAGCAACTTTCTTGATTACAACAGGCTGAGCATAGTAAGAAAGGCTGCCTAACAAGCTCTGTGTTGAACACAGTATCATTTCTATGCTTAGTAAAAGCAATAAGCAATCATGTTAATAAGCTACTACAAAGCTGCACATCCCACTTAGATTTATTCTTTGTAAGGAGACATCTAACTCCTTGACAGTTCTCACTTCCACACAACACAACGTGAAGACCCAGACGGCTTTAAAATACTCACATTAGCTCTCGCCAGGGAAGGAAGTCCTGAGGGGCTGTGTTCTTCATTTGTAGCCTCTTGGTACCTAATTTGATCTATCCTCATGTAGGAGTCATACAATCCATCTCCAAACCTGGCTGCAAACGTCCCACACACGAGCCAGTTAGTCACAACAATTCACAGCTATACAGACAAAGCTGAAATGTGTCTCAGCACATTTCAGGCTGTAAAATCATCAGTTCTTGTTCATTTAATAACCGACATTTAGGATTTAACTGTGTTTTAATACCACAACAGAATGCAAAGCTCCTGGAAAACCTTAATTTGCGACTCTTTAAAAATCAGCTTTTGCACTGCAAATACATCTTTAATAAACACCAACAGATGCACTCCCCATTTTCCCTTAAGTAGGATAATCCCGAACTGGCCTCACGGAGAGGGACAACCGAAAACGAGCCTAACTGGAATACTTGATCGGACTATCCTCTAAAGTAGGTTACCAGTTGAAAGCGATACGTGGGAATTACAGTTAGATTTGCTGCCGGGGCTTGCGTGCGTGAAACAAAACGTTCACGTGCCCGTCTGCACCGTGACTGCGGACAAACACCGCTCAAGAACCGAGAAATGCAGCTCCTAACGCTGCCGGCTCCGCATCGCGCTTTGCCAACGGGAGAAGCCCCGGCGGCAGCGGCCTGACCCGGCCTTCCCGAGGCCTCACTCCCCGCCGGACCCCCGCACCGGGGAGGGCCCGGCGGCCGCCTCAGCCCTCTCGCAGCCCGCCCGGCCCCGCGGCCGCCTCACCTGCACCGAGGGGCGCCTCCGGCTTCCTGCCCAGCAGCATGGTGGCGGGAGGGGAGCGGCCCCCATCCCCCGCCGGGCCCGCGCTCCGCCGACCGGCGCTGTCCCGGCGCCCGCCCGCCCGCCACCGGCCCGGCCGTTGCCAAGGAAACCGCCCCCCCCCCGTCACCCGCCGCCGGGCGGCGCCTGCGCAATGGCGGCGCGGGGGAGGCGGGAGGAGCGGGGCCTGGCCGCCCGGGGCCGCGCTGCGCTCCCCGGATGGGCGCGTTACGTTGTGAGCCCCTGCTCAGCCCCTCCGCCCTGCACCGCCCGCTCCCCGCCGCTCCCGCTGCTCCCCCGCCCCGGGAGGCGCCCCACAGCAAAGCCCAAGCGCGGGGGAAGAGGCCCCGTTAGGGCTGAGCCCGCTGCGGCCCCGGTGTGTCCGGTCTCGGCGGGGCCCGCGGGGGGAAGCGGTTTCCACCCGGACGCTTTAGTGCGGCGGGACCATGGCGGCTGCCGCGGCCTGAGCGGAGCGCGGTGCCGGCGGGGCGCGGGCCCGCCATGTTCTCCAGGGCGTTCCGGGTGAGATCCAACACCGCCATCAAGGGGTCCGATCGGTGAGTGCCGAGGGGGGGGCCCCCGGAGCCGCGCTCCGCTGCGGGGAGCGGCTCAGGCCCGCCTCCTGCGCTAGGCCCGTCCCGGTGCTCGGTGGGCCCGGCCTGCCGTGGCCGGCACAGCGCCCATCGGCTTGCGCTTGTGGCAAACACGGACCGGCGCTCTGAATCCGAAAGGTACCCTCGAGAGAAGGTGCTAATGTAATTAAATGAGATTCAGGTTAATTATGTCGAGGCCTAACTGGTCCTTCCCCTCTGCATTCCGTGTAGTGATGGTGTCTGACTTGCCGGCCTCTTAAATTCACTTGCTGTATCTGTGAACGGCCACACAAACCCGCCTTGTGCTGCTCACCACGTCTTAACCATCAGTTAAAGTGGGGGCGGAGGGAGAGTTCCAGCTGTTTCTCCGTGCTGTAGGTAACAGAGCCAGGCTGAGCAAGTCCAGCACTCCCAAATCTCTGCTCAGAGCAGTAATGGAATCACAGCAGGAAACAGGGGCAAAGACAGCAGCAGGAGATGTTGGCAGGTCACAGAATCATAGACTGGAATTGGGTTGGAAGGGACGTGAAAGCTCATCCAGTTCCAGCCCCCTGCCACAGGCATGGACACCTTCTACTGGAGCAGTTTCTCACTGTTTTAAAGTAGAATATGAACAGGGAGAACATATTTGGCCTTTCCCCAGTATTATTCCAGCTATCTCATTTGTAAACCCAAACACAAATGCTTCAAGCTATCCTGTGTGAAAAGGTGGGAATCTCATGAACAACCAACAAAACAGTAATGACTGTTCCACGAGTTAGTTTGAGTCCAGACTGCTTTGTAACACATTTGTGATTTTATCATTACAGGAGAAAACTACGAGCTGATGTTGCAGCAGCTTTTCCTAACCTTAGTGCTGAACAATTGGCTGAGTTTATTTCAAACAAGGAAGAGCTTAATGTCATCAAAATATACTGTCACAAAGGGGAGGCCGTCACTGTTTACATGAATAACAAGAACCCAGTACTGTTTGAAATCGAGAAAGCTCTGTATCCAACAGGTATGGGGAGTGGACTAGAAAAATCCTCTCTTTACTTACTGGGCACGAGCCTTTCCCCAGAAGATTTCCTTGCATCTGCCTTAAGTAGTTACCCTGTAATATCAGTATACTTCATAATCTTCAGTGCATTTATTCAAGCAACACCTTTGCAAAATTAGTGGCATTTCTGGGTTCTTTTTGCAAAGGGAAATTGATCTGATTTGAGGTTAGAAACCAGGACACAAGTCATAGTTTAGCCTCTTACCCCCCCTTTGCTCTCTTTTGTCCGCTGCAGTTCTCCCCTCCTGGAGTAGCAGTTTAGCTCAAAGTGTCCTTGACTTAAGGAAAATGATGCAAACGTGTCTGTATCCTTTATAATAATTCTCAGGAGCTTGAAGGAACAAGCAGTTTAATTTTCTCCATCACTTCTATTAATTGTAGGATCGCTCTGACTTCAGTTTTCTTGATTGCCCAAGTAACAGGGGGAGTGTTTAGTTGTGGTTAGTATTGTACTGCTTAAAGATGGGAAGAAGCAACAGCTAGAGAAGTTTCCAGTGACGTATCTTTGAATCTGGTTCTGTTTTGGGACAGTGTACACCCTGTGGGTCTACCCAGATCTTCTCCCTGCTTTCTGGACATGGCCCCCTGTGCTACAGAAACTAGCAGGAGGAGCAGGTAAGAGGACTAGAACTTTGCCACAGTGCATGGGTAAAAGGAGTTGCCTTCAGGGCTTTTTTGATGTTATCTTTCCCAGTGGCAAAAATGAACTTGAAACAAAAAAGGGTAAAGAATAAGCACTCAAAAGTAATTCATGGTGGTGACCTAAAAAGGGAAATTAAATGAGCTGTAAAAAAGCTTGTGGATGAAACAAAGTAGGTTAAGCTGTTTAAATGCACTGTTCCATGTGGGAGTGTCAGATCTGGAGATACCTCCTCAGGGTGATGAGCAATGCTGAGCTGGGACACAGAACTGCCTTTGTCATTGGTCTTTTCTATTACTTCCCTTGAGCAGCTGAGTTACTTTGCTGTCACCCTGCTTCCTGTCAATTCAGAGGTGAACTAGCTTATCCTGTGGATAAAAAGCAAGTTTATATTGGAGCCTGAAGTTGTAATCACTGTCAAGTAAACTGTGCTTGTGCAGGTGAGGTTGAATTTGAATTCCTGGATTTCTGGCTCTACCACCTAATTATGGATCAAGGCTAACAAGAAAGGAGTTTATTTTCTGGAACCTGCTTTGGATGCATTTCAGCCTTAGAAGAATCAGGTCTTTATAAACTTTAAATTGCTGAACTGCTCAACCAGAAAAAGATTAAATTGCAGCTGCTGCAGCCTTAGTCTGGAAACAGAAGTGTATGTTGGGAAGAAATGTCTTTTTCTCATTACATAGGATCTAAAGGAGAACTCGAGTCCCTCTGCTTTTGGGGAGATAAAGTGCTTGAATGTGTAGCTATGCTAGACATCACAGCAAGCCTTGCTGCTGACTTGTAGTGACCTAGTTTCCGGGCAGGGGAGGGAAGTCTTACTAATGGGAGAAGGAGGTTGATGAAAGAGGGCTGCAGGTCATTCATCTCCCATGGCAACCAGGCCACCTCTGGGTATGATCCAAAGATAAGAAGCTGGCCAGTGACAATGGCCAACAAAGGGAGAGGTAGAGCCACATCTCAATAAAAAAAAGAGGAGGAAAGACTATCCAGTGCTGCAGACATGGAGGGAGGGAGCAGATGTAGGGAGCATTCAGTTACAAAGAGAAGCAAGGTAGTGCAATTTGTGATATGTGTTCTGTGAATTTAAATACCTACTGTCTGTCCTGGTTAGTTCCATAATACACACATCTGACTTACCTTGTCACATTAAGGTCTTTGTGTGATTTCTGCCCTCAGAGATGTGGATACTTGCTTGCAAGTGCAGGATTCGTTCTAGATTTGCTGAAAGTAGTTGTGACAGTGAATGGGAGGAAAAATACTGTTGGCTTCTTCAGCATAGGCATAAAATCTATGATGCTGAGAAAGAGAAAAAGTGAGATGCCTTCAAAACCAAACCATGGAACACAGGTCAGTCTCTTGAGACAGCAGGCTCTAGACAGCTGAAGCTGCTGTGAGGGAGAGCAGAAGCTCTTTGTATAGTTCTGTGATGATGTGATGCCACATGTGCAACAAGGAAAACTGTTTACTTACATGCCAATCTATTCATCCCAGGTATGAAAGCAGGAAGCACAGTAGAAGGTGTAGCGTTTCTGTCCAGATTAGCAAGGAGATGGTTAAGGCTTCTTCCTCCAGCTGAGGAGAGTTCACAGCTGAATGTAGCTATTGTGTGAGATCAGGAGGGCTCAGTCAGTACTGGCAAATTTTAGGCAATTCTCTCCTCAGGGGGAGAGCTGCTGGGATAACCTGCCCTTGGGACAGGGGTGAATAAATGGGTAGTTTGAGACACACCTCATACTTCCCAGTTCTGCAGATTTTTGGGATGTGCCCAGCAGCCTTGTGAATGGGATCTCCACAGGGTGGTAGCAAGAAGTGCTGCCTTACTAGGAGACAGTAGTAGTTGTAGCTGGCATGTGCTCAGCTATTAAAAGGCTTGGATTTTTTGCTGAGTAACAGGAGGGATGGGGGTGGAGGACTTTCATTGAGAAATGGATGTGCTTTATTCTTCAGATCTGATGCTGCCAGGAGTGGTAGTGCCACCTTCTGGCTTTCCTCAGGTAGAGCGGGGCACGCTCTGTGCTGTCACTCTTTTGGGAAACAGGTACGGAGGATTCCTTCTTCATGTCTTTGCTTAGAAACTAAACATGAAATGAAGCTATTTCTTTTGCAGGGAGACTGGGGGAATTTGAGGCAATCAAAGCAGAATGGTTCTCATACGCTTGGTGCTCTGTACACTGGAAAATAGAGCAGAAAATAAAATCCACTTAAGTTTCTGCGTTAGGATGCGTTTGAGCCCAGGTAGACAGCTTTAAAAATTGGTTCTTTTGGACCTTTGGGGGCACAAGTGGTAGATTTGGTTTGAAACAGTAACTTTTTAAAGAAAAGATTGTATTCTGCACAGTTGTCTTTCCATAAGTGAGGAAATTCAGAATGAGGGAACAGTGCTAAAGCTGTTGGGATTTTCCTCCATGATAGTCTCTTTTGGCAGTGCGTATGCTTCTTGTATTTTGTTAAAGTAAAGAATGTGTCACTGCACAACTTTCAGTTCAGTATCACAGCTGCATGTATCCTTGGGATTCTTTGTAAGACTTCACATCCAAGAAAGATAACCACAAAATACCTAGATGCTTCAAAAATAGTGGCTTGTAAAGAACAAGGACAGTGTAAAAGAAATTCAATATATCACAATGGCACAGGCTATCTCTGTCCAAGTTGCACAGTGTATTTGTACTGCCTTGCTGTAATACTCCCTTCTTTTTCCCAGAGCTCCAGTAGCAGTTGGAGTTGCCACTATGTCCACTGCAGAGATGCTGGCTGCTGGAATGAAAGGGAAGGGCTTTGCTGTCTTGCACACTTACATGGATCACCTCTGGTGAGTATATCATTTTCTGACAGAAGCAGGTGTCTGTCCTGACATCTATCCACTGTATATCAGTTCCTTCAACCTGAGTATAATTATTATAGAAATGAAGCTGGAACATCTCTGTTAGATACTCTGATATTAGAAAATCATCTTGTTCTAGAAAAAGTGAATTTTGAATCTTTTTTGCTTAAAAATGGTTATCTCTGCCAGTGTCAACTAAATAAATGATTCACTCTGCATTTGGATTCAACTGCTCTGCTCAGTTTTAAATAACATTCATGTGCAGAACATAGAAATTATGGAGGAAGAGGAGTTAAAAATATATAGTTTTGAGAATGCAGAAAAAGATCCATGCAGCTGCCAGTGCCTTTTTATCAGGCTGACATTTGTTCATTGTCCTACGGGCTTCAAAGCAGTACACAGGAAGCTATGTTATGTTTTCTCTTCCTTTTATAGGGAATATGGTGACAAATCTAATCCTCCTACCTTAGCTCCCTTGGTAACAGATTCTGCTGGAAAGGAGAATGCTGAAGATGAAGAGATGGAGGGGAAAGAGCCTGTCATCAGCCTGTCCACTGATCCATTGCAGCAGATGAATGTTGGTGATTTGAGCCTGCAGGAGCGAGACAGTTGTGCAATACTGATGGGAAAGGAGGAGCTCGAGGAGAACAGGGCTGCAGAAACAGCTGAAGATGCCAGTACAGAGGGCCTGCAGGAACCTGAAGACAGTAGGACTCCACAAGGTATTTTTGCATAGACATGAAACCAAATTATGCCCCTTTAGTTTCCTGAAGCCCATACTCACAGTCTAGATTATTGTGCGTTGTAGACAGCTCACTGTGAGAATGAGGTAGAGACAATTCTGTGGGTCTTAAAGACAATCTGGAATAGCCGAGTGCTGTTCTGAAAGACACAGTACTCACAGCTTGCTTGTCCTTTTTTTCCCTCCCTGCAGAGCAAATGGATGCATTATTTAATCAGTGCTTTTTCCATGCCTTAAAATGCAAAGTAAAGAAGTCAGATCTTCCTCTGCTCACCAGCACATTTCTACGCAGCCATATGTTCTCATGCTGGTATGTGGTAAGATTTGCATGCTGGGTTCTTGTCTTTCAAACTGTGGAGATCAAGTGTGAATATTTAGGATGAAGTTTCTGACTCAAAAGTAAAACTCAGTCAATCTCTAAGGTTATCTCAGTTCTTACTCTGATGTGAAGATGGTCCAGACCAGGATATGCACTTGGTAGCTCACTGGAGTTGGCTGACATTTGTTTCTAGATTGCTTAGTCACTTAAATGGCTGTTCGCCTACCCACAGGAATGTCAGCGCTAGTTTCACTCATCATGTTCTATTTAGTAGCATGTTTGAAGTAATTCTTTCTCTGTGTGATTTGTATTTGTGCTGTTAAGAAACTTCTAGCATAAGTAGCAAGATTTAAGAAGAAGTGAAGGGTGACTTGTAACTAAAGACCTTTTAAAAAATCCATTTATAGCCCTGCTGGACAACAATTGGACATAAAGAAATCAAGCTATAAGAAGGTGAGATTTTTCTGGCTGGTTAAAGCAAGTGACTTCAAGGCAGTCAGAAATACATGGAAAAGGGATTTAAAACGCTTGACTCCACATTTCTGATTGTTACTTCCTTCAGTTCTCTAAATTCCTGCAATATATGCAGCACCAGAAGATCTTACAAGTGAAGGAGCTGAACAAAGGTGTCGAGAGCATCGTGGAAGTGGACTGGAAACATCCAGAGTATGTAGAATATCGTAGTTTTTTAAAGAGTTGGTAGTCTCTGAATCAAAGTCAAATATGCTTAGACTAGCTGGACAGATTTACGTTTCCCCCAGCATCTAGGGTTTTACTCTTAGTGAAAAGTGTTTAATATCACCCGAGTGAAGGCACTTACTTGTGTGTACATCTGAAATATATACAAGGACAAATACAGTGATTGCAGCTTATGCTTCAAAAGGCTGTACATCATGTCCTTTAACCCACAAACACTGCCCCCCCTGCAGTGGAATGCATCTGGGGGCACTGGCATACTATACAATACAATGTTAGGTTTAGCTTTCCAGTGAAATGGAAGCGTTAAGTTTCAATCCCCTTACACCAAATAATTCTTGTTTCAGTGTTAAAGCATTTGCAGTACCTGAAGGATTTTCTTCTGCCTCTGCTGCTCATGACAGCAAGAGTGAAGACAGAGAACAAGCATACCGTGCTCCTGAAATCATTCCACTTTACGGGGTATCAACAAAAATGATCCCACTCTTTCAGGAATCTGGACACAAGTAAGCACTGGACAAGTCCAACAAAACCATTGTTACATGAAGAGAGATACTAACAAATCCATGCTGTTACCCTGTTGTTAGCCCTCAGGGGGAGGGCTGTCAGGAAAGGTGATGGGAATCAAGAATATATTCATTGTTTCACAAAGGGAAGACAGGCAAGAGGCTGTGACAGCTGCCTTCAGTGAGCACTCACATTACTTCTCCCACAGCTTAAGGGGGTGATAAGTGTCAAAATTGATATATTTTACTTGGATTGTATTAGTTTGCCATTGGATAAGGCATATTCTACCCTCCCACATTATGGTTTACTTAAAAGGGGATGCCCAGATAATTTAAAGAACTCACTTGCCTTCTTATTTCCTAACCTTGTCTGTTTGATGTAGTGTAGATAGCACTCAGCAGCAGCCTTTCTTCAGCTTGAGCACTTTAGTACAAGTTACCCACAGTCCCCTCAAGTTAGGGGTGCTGTTAGGCTCATCTTCCCAAAGTAGGCTCCCAGAAGCAAGGGGCTGAGAGTCTCTGTAATTACTGTGAACCTTTTATCAGGTGTATGGCAGCTGAGGTGTAACAAGAAATCACTCCCTAACTGATGTATTTCAGTACTGAGCTGTTGCTACCAAATGTAGTCAGGGTAGTTGCTGTCTTCTTAGTGACAGAACCCAACACCTAACTACTTAAAGTAAAAAGTTTTCTTTCTCTTTAGAAAAGGCAGCAGCCTCTCAAGCAGTGAGGTGAGAAACATCATTATTAACTACGTGAAGGCTAATGAGTTGGTGGATGAAACAAACAAAAAGTAAGTAGACATGGCATTTGTCCTGCCCTGCTTCCACAGGAGGTGCTGAAGTGGGAGCTAAAACGTGAACTACTTTGCTTCTAATGCCTGTTGTTGTTTTGTAGCCTTGTAAAGGTGAATGCCATTCTGTGTGACTGCCTGTTAGATAAATCGGAACAAGATGAAATCTCACACCTTAAATGGGATGACCTCTTGAGCAGGTGACTGTTTTCCCAATGTGGTGTTTATGTATTATGCAGCTCTATTGCATGCACCTCAAAGCCATGTGTTACTGGAGCTACCTAACTTGGAGCTTCCTCCTGGTAACACAAGAAAGAAGTACTCAGAGACCTCCGCTTGGAGGCTTTCTTAATCTTTACCATTTAACAAGCATCTAGCATTAACTGTTGTTAGTTTTCCATTTATCTGCTAACCACTAATCAGGGAAGACTTACTAATCAAACAGTGCCTGGTTCTGTGTATGATCATATACATATTTATAAAGCCATCCTTTGGAAGAGGTGGCTGAACATGCCCTTTGCAGGCAATGGTAGTCATCCTGCTCTTTATGTATCACAGCTTCTGTATTTGGGACCTAAACCCACCTTCTAGATCCAAGAGGCCCTAGTATCTGACACAAGACCATTGTTCCCACACATTGAGAAACTTTGCCTCAATAACCCCAATGTCTTACTTGCCTTGAGCTTCTTCATCACACAGTGCTTTGGAGGCACCTCCAGCCTTTCTTGATTTCTGAAGCCAGGTTTGCTCGGGGGACAGTAACACAGCTAATGCTGAATCTTAAACTGAAGTTGCTTCACTCATCTGTGAAAAATACAACTGAGCAATAGCTTAAAGATGAAGAAGATTTTCTGCTGCAGCAGAAAAGCATCGGTGATACCAGCCTTGCTGTACTGTGTACACTAACTGGATGTATAAACTGTGTTCAGGTGCCTTGAACGACTGCAGCCCTTGCACCAGGTGACATTTTTTGGACAAGAACCTGTTGTGAGGAAAGGAAACATTGAGCCCATTGACGTAACCATAGCACAGAGGTCATCAAATAAGAAGGTAAAAAAGAGCTAAAATGAGGGGGTTAGGGCAAAGCCCAGATTGTGAGAGCATCTTTGGCAGCTCCTTTATCTTGGGGTGAATGAGCCATGACTTGCTGCATACAGTGATATTTGCAATCATTATTAAAACCTGTAGGTGACAATTATCAAGAACCTTGAGCTGTATGGACTAGACCCACAGTGTGTGGCCAACATTCTGCAGCAGAAAGTACAAGCCAGTGCCACCATCACCCCAATACCAGGAACAAAAGACAGAGTTCAGGTCCAGATCCAAGGCAACCAAATCCATCATCTGGCCAAGATGCTGCTAGGTAAGTAGGTTCAGGAACTGGGCTGGGACTGAGCTCTGAGTATTTACCTGAACTCTTGGTTGTGTTGCAGAAGAATACCAGCTACCTCGGAAATACATTCGAGGCCTCGAGAAGGCTCCAAAGCTTGGCCGGAAGAAGTAAGAGGGAAAATCTACTGTAAGAATTACTCAGATCTCATTATTTATACAAGTGTTCTGCCAACAAATCCAGGCTAATGGAGGGGCCCTCATCATTCAGAAACGAGTGCTGGAGGTTTACAAGGTCTGAGATTCACCCCAATATTAATAACTGCTCCAACTGTTCATTTTTCATAAAATAAAAGACTGAATAAACTCCCTGGCATTATCCTTTCCCATCTATTTTCTGGAAGTTCCTAATGGTGCACTGGTTTTCTGGCTATTTAACATCTTTGGTTTGCATCTTTTAACAAAGGTGTGGTAGTAGAACCTCCACTGAAACGAAAGCAAAGTACATTCCAACACATTGTCCTGCAACAGGCCAGTGTGTTCTGCCATAGATGGTGTATGTCAGAAGTAAAACCCATTTGGTTTTAGATTTTAGCCTTTTAAATGTTGCTAGGTATTAATATCAAACACTTTAGCACTGAGAATGAACTCCATTAGCTGGATTTTTATGGTTTGCATTAATTTTATATACATATAAGCATATTTTAATGTACAACATCAGCTGTGATTTATCACAGGTAGCAGGTCTGTCAAATCTAGATAAAATAGAAGATGAATGGAACACTTGGGTCAGGTTGCACAGGGGTGGATGTTCTGTACCTCTTTAGCTGAAGCTTCAGCACTTCACAGTAGGATTAAGAAAGATTCCTCTATTTTCCCTTTAGACTTAACACATGAAAGTTCCATAGGAGGGCGCCAGAAAAGAGACTCCTTTCATTACTGACAGTTTTATTATCGTTGTCTTTTACACTGTCTGCATATGAACAAGGAGTTTCAGAACCTTCAAAAGAAGCTGGAAGTGAGACATTTTTTAATAAAAATGCCATAGAATTACTAGGGGAGTAGTAAAAATAAATTACAGCATTGCAAAATGCATCTCACTTTGCCATAGAAGCTTTGCTAGTCCATTCTATACACAGTATTTTACATGGTTTACAAGAGACATGAAAAATAAACTCACACCAACTAGGCAAGACAAGATGCTAAACCAAAGGCACTGCCAACAGGAGTTTGCGCTTCAGGGGCTGATACTTCCATCCTAAACACAGAGAGTTTGAGTTTCCAGATCTACTGATACTTCAGATGCCCCCACATCTTGAAAAACCAAAAGAAAGAGCCCTCCCTGCAGGAGGTTTTCAGCAGCATTCACAGTAATTGCATAAGAAGCCATGCCTTCTACAAAGACATGCTGGGTTCCAGGGAGGGAGAGGGGAACAGTCACTAAAACTCAACAACGAAAGAGGAAAGCTTTACAACTTTTAGCCAGAAAGGTTTAAGGGATTTAAAACCAAGCATCTGGATCTTACTTCTCAGAACCAAGGGCAGTTTTTACAGTGTTCTTGCTCTGGACTGAACAGATTTATACAGTGCTTTGAAACTCAAAGCACTCCATCAATGATATTTAAATTCCATCAATGATATTTAAATCACAAGTGCACAGTGAAGTAATAAGCATTCTAAATGGACAAACAGCCCCAGAGCATGAAAAGTGCTGCTTCAGTTGGGCTGCTGCCATGTTGTTAAAGGTCATCTGGGTGTAGAGTACAGTACAGCTGGGAGGCCCTTCCTGCACTGTGTGCCAGAGGCCAGAGCCCTGTTAGCAAACCCTTTTACACCTCTGACTAAAGCATGAGCTGCAAGGAAGCTTGCAGAAAGGGGCGTTCACACAAACCAAGGGGCTTTCAGTGATGCAGGTACTCTCTTAACAATTTATAAACACACTCAAGTACAAATCCGAGGGCAAACAAAATAGAATCCCAAACAGTCACCTTCAAGAAAGAAACAAAACGGTTCCTCATCCCTCTGCGGACAGCAGCAGCCTCACCACAACAGTACTTTGGGATCAGAGGGGGACAGGACTGACAAGGCCTCTCAAAAGCCCCTTCCAGCTTCCTCCTTAGCCCAAATGCAAACATTTTACACTTAAGGGGGGGAAAAAAAGGCACTGAGGTAAATTTTGGACTCTTCCATATGGTCTCTGCGGTCACTGTTACCCAATAACTTGTTGCCTCCCTTCCCATGTCAGGTGGGATCACTGCAGCCTACAGCGAGCTCGCAGGGACACTTGCTTATCAAGCCAACACAGAACCCTTTCACATGCTCCGCCTGTATTGTCCCTTTTCTCTTTACACTTTGTGGTGTAAACCAAGGGAAGGCTGACCCTGGCTGCGAGCGGCATGCCCAGTACAAAGCACCGAGCAGAGTAAACACAGGAACCATCCTCTGACCGGCATCCCCACAGCCTTCCTTGCCCTGCAGACACAGCATCAGCAAGACCAGGGGCTCTGGTTGGAGTTATGGCATTAACTGATGCTCCAGCTCAAGGATCTTTGTGAAGTGCATGGGTCAGAGATGGTGGGAGCCCTGAGAAAGGGAGAGAGACATTTGCTGTCCTCTCCTAGCTCCACATAGAGAGCAGAACCTGGGCATGCAGGCAGAGCACCAGTTGCACGTGGGGAGGGAAGGAAGGAGGACAGCACGTGTAGAGAGCAGCACAGGGAAGGAGAGGCTGGTGTGTCATGGACAGGAGTAGTGGGAAAGCAGCACAAGGAGGATCAGTGGGATAAAGCATATCAGAGGTGGGCAGAAAGCATCTGAGGCTACTCTTACTTTTCCTGGTGCGAAGGCTCCTGGTGCCACCTCCACACCCTGGCCCTGGTTGGAGCTCCTCTCCCTCGGTGCCAGACCTGTTCATCAGTTTGATTTATGAAAGGGGTTAGGTTTGACTTTTCCTGGGTTGCTCTGGTGGATGTGTATTGCTAAACGTTCAGTACCGACCCATCAGCCTCAACCATCATCTTTACACCTTCCAAACAGAATGTCTTCAGTTATAGGTCCCAATTCCTACAGGGTAGAAAACTGGTTAAAAACCAGCTAACTTAACGTGAGCATCAGGGGGATGTGCTTTCATTCACATCTGTTTTCGCAACTGGAAGTTAAATAGAATCAAAACAGATGACTTTTCCCTAGAATTAAGATCACCAAGTTTCACTAATGTGTACTAACAACTCTTTGGGTGTTGCAGCTGCCTTGGGCTCAGAACTTGACATTTCCCTGCTTCTCTCAGCCCTGAACATGCCCATAAACAGCCTTGGTTATGGCTGCAACACCCACATGGTTTGGTGCAACCACCTCCTGCTTCCTGTGCTCTACTTATGAAACCAGAACTCAGCCACGTGGGCACACGCAGTGAGCTCAGCACCTCCACACGAGGACACGCAAGTCACTGGGAGGAGCATTAATGCAAGCGTGACCCTGCTCAAGACATCAGCCAGTAGATGTTCCTGCTGGGTTGCAACACGGAGCATCTTCCACGGAGCTCCTCTGACGGTGTTTGGTTGGTTGAGCAGCATGGTTTGAAAACAGGCTCCCCGTTCTCTGGCCCTGGGAGAAGAGCTTTCAGAAGGAGAAAATGCAATATGTTCACTTGAAGGACTTCAGGAGAGGATGAAGAGGGAGGGTGACTACTATAAGGTGTCCTGAGAAGTGTCTTTTCATTTTAAAAGTACTATCTAGCTTAGTCTGATCCCAGTGATTCCAAAGGGTTATCCAGGCTTCCCTTTGGCTTCTTTCAAGGTCTGTTGCAGTCTCTGTTTAAACTTCTCATACTTCCTTTGCACTTGCTGGATTTTGTCCTTTTCTTCTTTGTCCAGTATCATCAAGAAGTTCTGAAGCTCTGGGATTGAGAATGCGTCCCACTGCAAAACGAGCAGAAACAGAGGGGAAGTAAGCACACATCACTCACCTCATTGATTTTGTGGGGTTATTTTCCCCTCTAAATTAGTGGAGAGGAACAATAAAAGACATTTAAACGTGTTAAATGTGATCTCCAGATGATGACTGGGATTGCTTAACAAATACTGCTCAGCACTGCCATGGGAAGCAGCATTCCTGCAGCATCTACATGACTGCAACCAAAAACTGACTGTGAATTTAGCACCAGGGCGTCCCTGGCTTCTACTTGAATCGGTGGATTACTTCTAACAGCATTTAGCTAATCTGATTTGTGAGGATTAACTCCAGGGTGGCGTTGCTTGGTTCTGTAACCAGATTAGGGGTTGGCCATCAAAGCTGTCTCAGCATTTTCACAGCTCAAGTTTCAGGTTTGTTTTAATATTAAGCTAATTTAGGAGCAAGAAATCACCAAAATCTATCAATATTCTTATTTTCAATGAAGGTCCAAGCAGTCCACTCAGCTGGTAAATTAAGTTTGGAGGAAAGAAGCTGATATCACCCTCAGTAGTTCAGAAAGCAAAGCCCATAATGCACATCCCAGCCCTGCGATGCTGCCACGTTCTCCACAACACAGTTAACGTGCATGTAAGAGCCAAGGGAAAGAGTCACCAACGTACCTCGACTTCCCCTGTTTCGTTTTCCTTCAGCACAAAACTGAGCACATCTGTGTCAGGACCCGCCAGGAGCCGGAGGTACAGGGGGTACTCGGTGAGAGGCAGCTTCTGGAAGAGCACTGCAAGGGGACAGCAGACATCCGCAGTGAGACCTGGGCTGCCAGGCCAGGGGAAAGCTCAGGAGGTCAATGGGAGCATCTAAAAGTGGTTCGTGTTGCTCAGAGTCAAAGGGGAAGTAGCTGAGTCTCTAACATGGATCTGGAATGATCCTTGTGAGGTCTTAGGTGGCTTCAGCCGCCTTCTGAAAACTGAGTTCTCCATTCACTTGGACCTGTGTAGGTCCAGCCATCTGTTCATGGTTAAAGCCATTCCCCTTGGCCTGTCCCTACATCCCTTGTCCCAAGCCCCTCTCCAGGTTTCCTGCAGCCCCTTCAGGCACTGGAGCTGCTCTCAGGTCTCCCCTTCAGGAGCCTTCTCTTGTCCAGGCTGCCCCAGCCCAGCTCTCTCAGCCTGGCTCCAGGGCAGAGCTGCTCCAGCCCTCGCAGCAGCTCCGTGGCCCTCACTCAAGCAGGTCACTTCATCTGCCTGCCTGACACACCAAGCGCTGTGAGAAGCCTTCAGGTGTGTCCCCGGACCCGATGGGCCGCAGGGAAGCTCAGAGCATGGACTCACCTTGCCCGTCCTTCCGCATCTCCTTGAACAGTGCAAACTTCTGGGGGTTATCCACCACCATGAACTTCTTGAGGAGCCCCTGGATCACCTCGCTCACCGTGGTCGTGCTGCTGATGTGGAGCTGCTT